TGAAAAAAATCACAACCATTTATGAGTTCACCACCAGCTTTATTTTGAGCACGCTGCTTCAACTGACCTATTTGCCAGGCCTCCGCCAGAACAAATTTGTTTACATCATCGCAGATTATTCGCTCCTCCCCAGTAAATGTGTCTCCAGGGATGAGCATGCTGTCCTCTACAGCCACGGACCAAATGTGACTTTCTCACACAACAGTGAGGTACTTGGTTTCAGTTTGGTACTGTTTGCATTGAGCGAAAGGCCGTTATCGTTAAGCAAGTGTTAAATGATTTATGTCCGACCGATTCTGTTCCTGCTTGCAAGACCCATGCACAAATTCGACGCCCACAATGCATGTCATCCCTTTGCTTTTTTTAGAATCTTAGATGACACAAGGCACTTTACATAGAAAGAAAGGAACTTGACGTGGATGAACATTCCACCGAAGACCGTTCATTCAAACCTTGAATGAAGATTTGATAAGATTTTGAGAAGCTTGTGCGATCACCAGAGCCCTTGCCAAGTGGCAAGCATATGTATGAGATGCCAAAGCACCAGCGATCGTGACAGATGACTGATGACGGCGAAATGTAGCTGACTTTCGTACGACGTTTCTTGGCTATGGACGGGTTTGGGAGATGCCGAGGCAACGGCCCTTTTTTCTTTTTAGCCTCAGGTGATCACCCGAAACTACCTGGAGGTGGGGAAGGTGAGCCGATTACGTGAGAATGCGATGCAAGATATTTACTTTGGTTTGCTAATGCTCTACTGTGCAAGGCAAAATAAATAACTTAAACGCGTGCATGGATTGCCAGTCGAGCAGTTGGTGGGTGGCCGGTTGAGTAACCTTCACTCGGCTAGGAGGCGGGATATTGAATCTTAAAATCTCAAAAACTAAGAGAGCTAGAGGCACCAAACACACAGAAGAAGTTGATCTGCATGTGATCACCCTTGTCTAAAATTGGAGGTCCATAGGGCAGAAACTTTGGATCAAATAAGATAAAATTATGTCAGACACAAGATTGGTGTCCGAAGTACCCTCAAACCTTCCCGTGCAACTGCCTTGAAGCTAGACACCTGTTCTAAACAAAAATCCCTGGTGATCATTTTACGTCAGCAGCCATTTTTACGTTTGGATGGTCATGATAATAAAAAAAATACAAGATTGCTTTAATTTTTCAAGTGCAATAAACATTAATGATTACGCTAGGTCGCCCATCTTTAAAAAGCAATTAATTTGGATCATTTTAGGTCAGTGATCTGTACTGATTTTTAAGAGGTCCATGGAAGATTTGGTTGTAGTCCCTGCTATAAAAATCGAACTGAGCAACATTAACTACCTCTTGAAGGGAGTGCTCCGCATTTCTAAGCGGGTTTTGAATAGAAATAGTCATCTTAAAGACCTTGCGGTGCAGTTCATAGCCCAGACCTTAGCAAGACCTAAACTGCTCCAGTTTCGGCGCTATAAGCCTGCAAAAATTCCATGACCGTTTCGTGAAGCGTAGGTCAAGGTAATATCAGCATTCGCGATTTCATAATAACGTCATTTATTTGCTACGATTTCATAAGCCATGCGGCGATTAAGGCCGAGAAAAATACAATGGTCGAGTCGTTTATATCTGGCGCTCGTATGCACATTTTCTGGGTCAGTTGGCTCTAACGGTCGTCAGATGGCTCTCAATCAAAGTTGTGCAAAGAACGATGACGTAGCAAAACCATGACATATTGAGGAGTATAAATATTAAGCAGATAAATTGCGCTGTGTAGTCTTTCTTACCTTAAGGATCATGTCAGTAATAAGTGAGCTCGTTTCATCATATCTGGTGCTTGCCTCAATATCTTTAAATGTGAAATATTCCCTTCGAAGCAAGATCTCCAGCAAAAGAGCAGGCTGGTTTTAACCTCGGATTGGCCTGTCCACACGAGACCCTAGGTCTATCGAATTTGCCATAATCTCAAAATCAGTCAGTTTATCGCTGAAAAGCTTACCGAAGAGATATATGACTTCATTCTACTCTCCTATGGCGCATCATACTGAACGATTCCCTAGAAATTGCCTTCGCTGACAGTCACGGCTTGGCTTTGACGTGCCAAAGGTCAGCGGCGTTGAAAGCTACATCTGATTTTGTATCCAAAATATTTTCTTCTCAACTGCCTACAGCTACGCAAAGATTGGCGTGGCTACGCCGTCCTCTTCGAAAGTTGCGCTTTTGAAAATTATGTTGAAAACTGACCTCCGATGGGAGGTCAAATTGACCACCACCCAAGCGCGTGTTGAGGAAAACATGCACTCACTTAGTCGTGCATTTCCATGGCAGACAAGTAAGCACAGCGGTGTACACAGTCAGTGAATTGGGCGGCCGATCAGTTTTCATCGCCGTGACAGGGATTCCTTATCTCAACCGAAACAGGAGCCTTGGCCGAGCGACCGGTCTCAACCAGAAATGACGGACGAACTTGCATTTGGATCAAAGGCGTAGTTTCACAAAGTGGTTTGAGGGAGGTGGCGGGGTGCTTGGCCGCGAGAAATGTGAATCCTTCCCCCAAAAATTCACCAACAAACAGGTGTTGTCCCAGATTTGGCCCATTATCCCTCAAAGTTGGGGGGATAATGGGCCAAAAAAAGTTGGGGGGACTGGAGCCCGGTTTGGGTGAGCATGAAGCCCCTAAATTTTAATTTATATTTCACACTCCTTGTTTACAGTTGTCTGTGCTGGTTTTTAGTTAGGAGTTGCATTTATATTATAGCTTTGAGGGCAGGACTTCCGCCTTTGATATAAATCCAATGTGACTTTCTGTCCGTGTTTTATAATATCCTGGAAAAGCCCGAAATAGTAAAAAAGAGAACATGATCATTCGCAAGGAGATGAACTTTTTCATCTGGCATGAACACGTTTTTGCCAGATGGTGTAACAAGTCGGCAGGCTTGATCACGTGCATGCCGCTACTTCATCATGCATAGTCCTGTATCTTGTGGAGGGTGAAAATTAGTCAGCTCATAGAGCCTCGAGCGAGTATTTCCCAATAATATTGTTTCAGAGGCCGCTACTATGTCTACTCTCTTGTCTTTTGTAAAGTGGTCTATTTCGTCAAGTCGTTCCTCTGTTGTAATATCAAAAGTATTTTGATGTTATGATGCATGGCGGCAAACATGTATTATCTTCCTGAGAATGATATCCGCCTGTCGAGATGCGGGTAGGCTTGAGGTGTATGATGTATATTGTGGTGGCAAATATGAGTGAGGCGTATGATCATTGCGTGCTATTGTGACCTAGAAGTGCAGATCTGGGCAACAGCGGACCTTGTGTCTGGCGCGACAGTGTCTGTCAGTAAGCGTGCTCTGCTGCGGCGGTGGCGAGACAAGGACGGCCCGGCCACCGGCGACGCACCACCAGCCGACCATTAGTGGGGCCCGGGCACGTGCCCCGGCCGGCCGACCCAGCAGGTCAGCGGCAGGCACGAGGGCCGGGCGCACGGCGGAGAGGCCGACGGGCGCTGAGAGATCCAGCGAACATCAAATGAGCATTGACAGAAAGCGTGCGAAGACAAACGTGTACTGACGAACCAATGACAGCGACATTACGAGAATGGCACAGCGGGACGTGATAGGTCAGTCAGCTGGTGTAACTGAAAATTCTGAAACAAATCAATTTAACGGGATTTCAACTTGGCTTTCGAGAGAGTCGGCTGAAATTGACAGAGACAAATAGAGGAATAAGCTGAGTGCGCCACGCCAGGCGAAAAATGGACCTCAGCACTCACGTGGCTACGTGGCACGCTCAACACGAACACGACAACACGCGTGGCTACGCTCCTGCCGTGTTTCTCGCACTGAGCACGTCCCTGTCACGGGCACCTGGCGGCCTGCACCCGCAGGTGCCAGCGCCGGTGCCAGCAGAGGCGCACTCAGGCCTACCTCGCCTGCTCCTGTCTTTGCGACGGGTCTCACGCCGTACTTGCCGCTCGTCACCGGCAGCCGCTCCGTCAGAGGCGCGCTCAGGAGCGACAGCTGCCGGGGCAGGGGCGCGCTCAGGAGCGACAGCTGCCGGGGCAGGGGCGCGCTCAGGAGCGACAGCTGCCGGGGCAGGGGCGCGCTCAGGAGCAACAGCCGCCGAGGCAGGAGCTCCCAGGACCGACTCTTGGGGCACCAGGCCCAATGCCTACCGGTGACTTTTGTTAAGAAATTCGAAATGAGCACCAGGTACTGCTTCATATATCCAGCACTTGAGTAAGAAACACGTTGGCTTCGACCTTGGCCTGATCGCCACGCGTGACCCTAGGTCAACGGAATTTGTTGTAACCGTATACTAAATTACTTTATTGCCTAAGAAACTATCGCAGAGATGCATTATTTCGTCTAACGCTTTGTTGTCGCATCAGACTGACCGGTTTCCTAGAAATGGCCTTCGCTGGCAGCCAAGGCCTGACTTTGACCTACCATGGATCAGCGACCATGCAAGGCACACCTAGATTTTATACCAAATGCTATGGTGTTCCAATGTCTCCAGCTATGCCAGGTTCTGCGGGTTTCCACCGCACCATTCGGAAGTTATTATGCCTAGTCTGGCAGCGGTCCTGCGTGTGCCCCACTATCGCAGCAAATGAATAGGGGACCAAGGCGCTTTGATTTTTTATTAGCAAATATGACCAGGTCAGAACCAGGAAAAATATTTCGCATGTTACAATCCGAACTGCGCACTGCTTCACACTTCTACATCCAGTTGTCATGTAATCAATGAAGGTGAGTTTCATTCCAAGCGTGTCTGTCACAGACATTGAGCACAATTGGTCAGAGCACAAACAGGCACAAGTTTCCACAATCATTGCAAGAGCAGCCACAAGTCTCCACGTCCTGCACGAAGACAGGCCCACAGACAAGCAGTTCCTCAGACCACATGCGGGCACGACTTCCCGAGTTCATTGCAATGGCAGGCACAAGTGTCCAAGTTCAGTGCAATGACAGACAAGAGTACAGCTCATGTCGCATTACCTTTCCCGGCATCGTCATTATCTAGTAGACATAGGAGCGGTGGCCGTAGGGGAAGGCGTTGTAGGTGATGGGGTGGGTGCTGGCCGGGGTGTTGTACACGCTGCGGAACGCATAGGGTGTGGAGTATGCGGCGTGGGCGTACGGGTAGCCGAAGGGGTGGGCAGCGTAGGTGGAGATCAGGGTGGCGTCGTCAGCCTTCTGGTCCGCCTCAGCGGTATCGCGCTTCTTCAGCGAGTGCACGAACGGGGTGTAGCCGTGGTGGACGTTGTAGCCGTTGTAACCGTACGTGGTGGGGAACCTGTAGGCGCTGTTGTACATGGTCGGGTACGTGTTGTAGGCGTACGGGTAGCCGGCCGTGTAGCCGAAGGGGTGGGCAGCGTAGGTGGAGATCAGGGTGGCGTCGTCAGCCTTTTGGTCCTCATCCGCCGAACGCTTGGACCGGGACTGGAAAAGGCAGAGATGTGTTAGGTTTCTGCTTAGAGATGACACCAAGGACCTTCAAGATCCTCGAAGCTTATGATTTGTGCGATGCGAATCAAGTCTTTCCACCCTTGTTATGATTTTGAATTGCATTGCGTTAAATGGACACCGAAACGAACACCATAGTTCTTCGCGTGCTACCAGATACACACCCGAGCGTAGTTAATTCTCAGATTACCTTCATCCATAAGTGCAACATAATTGTTTTAAAGAGATCGTTGACACTGAATTGCCACGAAACAGCGGAAGTTGACCGACACGTTTTGGAACATGCTGCACACCGCTGTTTCCCTGCAAAGGGCGCAAGCGTCGCGCTAAACCTAATGTTGACTCTTGACGGTCCACAGCGCGTCGAAGCCTGACCTCTAGCGGCCACACGAGAGTCTGACATGGCGTGGATCAGCAATACTGACACTGCCCGTGTCAGAGTCACAGACTCCGTCATCACTGACCTCAACAGCGGGCTCCTCCTTCTCGACGGGCTGGAACGAGTACGGCAGGCCATGGTACGCGAAGGGGTGGGCAGCGTACGTGGTGATGGGCGCGTGGTACGCGTTGTGCGCCAGCGGGGCGTTGTACCCGGTGTACGGCCACGCTCCAGTGTACAGCTGGTACTGGGCCGAGGCGGCGCCCAGCACGGTCAGGAGAACCTGAGACAAGGGCGAGTGTCAGTTGGCTGATCTCTGCTCTAGTGAGGCAGGTTCATATAATTCAAGGTATGAAGTAAAAAAAAAAGTTTGCTCCGCCAGAAAACCGGGAGACATCGTCCTACTTACGAAATGGATTATCTGAACTCTTGATTTAAGAGTCTTCGGTTAGAAGGTCCACTGTGAATGAATGCACTGCGCAATTGAAACAAACTCCAAGGGAAAGCAAAGATAAAAGGGAAAGCAAAGTGAAGACGAGTCCATACCATTTGCAGTGTCATTTTATGACGAATGTGAAGCAGCCTTAACCCGAAAAGACGAGGATTGCCCGACCGACAGTGAAGTCGTCAGGCCGACACAGGCTTCACTCACCAGGAGCTTCATGGTGGTGCTGAGGAGGTAGCTGCGACTTGAGCTGTGTCTGTCGCCGTTCGCCGCCCGCTGTTTTATACTCATCCCCCCATCGCCTGAGGCCTGCCCATCCGGAGTCGGACGGCAGCGGCGGACGCGGACGCGTTTCCGAGAGGAGCCACCTTGTGGCCAAAGATGAACGTCTGGGGGACGGAATTGTTCAGCAGTGCGAAGTCTGGTTGTCAAAGTCCGCAGTTTACCGTTACCGTGCCTGGCAGCGTGTGTGCGTTTTGGTATGGTGTTCTGTGTCAAATGTGCATGTGATAGTGTCATGGGTGGGGCGGAATCGGTCTGAACCATGAGGTCGCGTTTTCCTATCAGCATGGAAGTGTGGAGAAGTCAGTCTTGTCCACTAATGTTGCGAAAATTAGCAAACACCACGAAGGTCTCGGCCCGCTTTCTCAGAGGGTGGTTGGCTACCGACTCTTTTTTGATGAAAATTTGGTGAAAACGAATGAATTACTGGGCTTCATCTGCCACAAACTCTATAAAATAACGGCAACATATTTACATAAAAAACGGCAGAAATGGACAAATTTCAAAAACACATTGCCACAATCACATCAACGGTAGTTAACTATGCGTATTTATGTTAAGGTTTAGTACATCAAGCCAAAACTTGTGCATCAGCGGGAGCTGACAACAACAGCTAACACGCCATTAACTCAAGAGTTGTACTGGAGTTTGATGGTTTGAAGAGGTGTTCATTTAGCAATATTGTTTTCCAAATTTGAAGGCGTCGTCTATTATTGCGTGTCCGAAAGATGTCAGTGCTGTACGTCAGGTACTGTCGTGGCAACGTCTGATCATGTCCGTGTTGCAAGTGCTCTTGTGGTGCCGCGTCGCGTGAGTTGATCGCCAGATGTCGTGAGGATGTCGTAGTCGCACCTATGTAATTTATCGAACGAAGCATACCACGTATGAGGCTACAATTTAAGGTACGCAGTTGATATATGCACTTCAATATATACTTATTTATTTATATCCTTAAGCTGTAATACATACATACACACATATACATATATATAATATATATATACATATATATATATATATATATATGTGTATGTATATGTATGTATATACACATGTACATGTTAATTGCACAGAATGTACACAGTTAATTAATGCACTTAAGCCTATCACTTTATGCATTGATCTTGTTGCCAGTTTAGCTTGGCCACTCATATCAGCTGCAAGGTTAATAATTTTAGTAATGTATTCGAAATATTTCTTATTGAAGCGAGGGCAGCACACCCGCACGTTATGACAGCAATGATTTGCAAACAAACATGGGACTAGTTTTCACCTGACGAGCGATCAAAAAACGCACATTGTGTCATATTAACCTTGCGGCTGTCACATTAACTGAATGGCATAAAGCTTGTAACAGAACACGCTGCTCAATGTTGCAGAGGACATGGTTTTGCTTTAAGAGTCACGGTGATCATAAGTCCGGTAGCGTTGAACCAATCGGTTTGAGCGGCCCTACGATTTCGTCGCAATCCTTGTGGTCGGGAAGCATCAAATTTATTCGATGATGTCGCTGGAATATTATATTTTCAATGGGTAGTTAATGTTATTGGAAGTTACATTTCGTATTATGTTATGCTTATTTGCAGGCGTGTTCATTGCTCTTGCACCATTTCTTTGTCTCTCCAACAGAGAAAAGCTTCCCGCTTCTCTGGACCGTAACCCATGTTGGATTCGAATGGAAAACGGTAACCATTCGTCGCGACCTTCGAAAGCCCAGTGCATGTGACCTCGCGTGGCTCATTTCTTGCTTATCGAAGACGACCACAAACCTACATCGCCACACATGCCAATGCGTCTGCATGGTTTTACACGACAAACAGGGGTACTTTGCGTCGTAAGGTTCTGCCACCTGATGATAAATAGGTTACGAATTAAATAAGCAGAACGCTGTGACACTCCTCTGATTGGTATGGGTGCTTTCTCCTCTAGCCAGAAGCTTCTCTCTGCACCATATTCTGGTGTTCTGGTGTTCACAACATTCAGGAGAGTTATTCGAGGTTAACACCGGGCCATGGGAGGGGAGAGAGAGGCGAGATAGTCTACAGTGGTATTTTCCGTTGCGGCAACATTTTACCACATAGCATCACACTTCAACAGACGGCTGAAAAGTGGCCGCACTTTTGGCAATCTAGACGCGTTGGGAATGGGATGTTGCCTTTAGTGTCCCAATTTTCCGCTCGCATCATGAAACACGAAATACAATTTATTTGCTGCGCAAATCAAAGTTCGCGATTGGATTTCGAGCTGGTTCCCGCTGCTTTTCAGAACGTTGAAACATTGCACTAATTCTACTAAACGTGCCCCAACGAGTAGGTGAGGGAGAGCTAGAAATAAAAGGCAGAAAATGTTCGTGAACATGCCCGCCACGCCCCTGCACGTACAGACGCACACAACAAAAACTGGCCTTCGAAACGACAGTTTCCTAAAAAGTGTCCTTGAATGGGTTGGACATCCAGTAGTCCAGGCCGATGTCGGCAGATGGACGGTGGCCAACGCATGACAACAGGAGCAGTTGTAGCGACTGGTTTGGATCCAGCTGGCCAAAAGCGAAGGCGAGCAGTACCCCCCCCCCCCCCCGCCCCAGCTTTTCGGTGCTGGTGTGGTGTTCAGCGCACGCGCCGCACCAGAGCTGCAGCGAGGTAGCTGCAGATGCACGTATGATTGTAGAGAATTTGCATAGTGCTCTAATAAGCGCAATCTACCCGGTGGCGAGAGGCGTCTGAGAGAACATGAAGCGCAAGAACGAGCTAACGAGGAGAGAGCGAGAGAGAGAGCGAGAGAGAGAAGAGAGAGAGAGAGAAAGAGAGAGAGAGAAGAGAGAGATGGAGAGAGAGAGAGAGAGAGATAGACGGGATGAGAGGAGAGAGAGATGAGGAAGAGAGATAGAGAGGAGAGAGTCGAGGATGCTCTGAAGCTCAAAACTAGAACCAGGACCAGATCTGAACCATAATTAGACAGATATTTTGTAAAGCCTTTATAATAGTAGGGCTATCGCGTCCTTCCTTCACTAGTAGCGCATCCACAGAATCGCAATGCGTTTAGCGATGCCGCGAAGATGGAGGACTAAGAGACAGGGTCCATGATCACGACCACGAGTCGGGCGACTCGCGCAGCAGGGCCGATGCCAAATTCAGTGCAATGTTAGGAAACACCGAGCATGGGTGTGGGAACAGCCGGGCCAGGGGAACCATGCCCCCCAACACTTTTCAAGGTTGGGTACCAGCAGTGTTAACTGCCCCCCCCCCGCATTTTTCGGATTAAGGTTGTGTTTAGTTTGCTTTTGGACTACATTTAACACACGTGGCGACTTACACATTTCATCAACCATTTTCCTCAAGGTGTGTCATCTTTTTCTTTCGCTCATTGGCCATCGCTTAGTGCCACAGCCGCGAGGCCGATGCCGTGCGGTCCATGGAGACTGCAACGCGGTTGTCGAGGCTGTTGTTACTATGACTTGCGAGCGCGCATGTTCAGAACCATGTTGCATAGTTTTTTATCGGTTATCAATTCTGACTGAGTCTTGTATATTCTAAGATGAGCATGGATTAGCGATGTTTTACAAATCTGGGACCCCCTCTCATCTACAATCTACTTTCAGGGGGTGGTCAATATTTCTGAAGAACATAGAACAACATGTAACTCGAGTCTATGTGACAATTATTGGACCACCTGCGACGATCAGGGATGTTGTTGCCTCAGTGAAGGTTCCTGTGCTGATCCGGGGCCAACTGCGCGGGTCAGGAAGGTCCCCGTGTCAGAGAGGTCTTCTGAACAATGTGATATGACATATCCTTCTTAAAGCCTCCGGATCAACCAGGAAATCTTGCCCCCATGGAAGTCAACCAGGAAATCTTGCCCCCCAGAACGACAGCCGGAAGACACTTCGCGATGGAACTGAATGGCTCTTCAGCCCTTGACCGGAAAAGTTAATGTGCTCCAGGTGTTCTACTCAAGGGGCCCCTTGTCCGGAAGGAAATAAGGGGTTTCGCTATTGAGTAGAGTGGGGGTATCATTGTTATAAATAAAGTGGGTCGAAATGAGATTGAAATTGTGCAGGGTCATTCCACGTTTGCCCAAGGATGTTCATCTTTTCATAATGGATTAGTGAAACAAATAACATCAAAATGTTTGAACATGCCTGCCCGCAGCCTCAGGAGCAAGGTCATCGATGACCCGGGCTGCAGCTTTCGCAAAACCGAATGGCGTCGGCCACTGCAAGTGCCATCGGATGGCGGGCGCCACGTTAATCTGTTTTCTGGACAGATACAGAAACATAAGAACAGAAACACGAAAAATAAAGATTCTTCCTTTACTCTTCCAGTTCAACCACCAGATACCAGCCTCACTTCGCGGTGCTGTAAGGACCTATCCGTTCTTACGATCAGTCTAAAAATCGCAAACGTGAAATATGGGTCCGGACTGCCTTCTAAACGTAAGACTTGAGGCATGAAGCCTTCAAAGATACTGCTTTCAGAAGCGTCATTATTTCCGTCCACACGTTAGTCACAGCTCAGCACTGGCTGCTGGGCCCACCCTGCGTGGCCAATGGAGACTGCAACGCCTGGGGTCGAGGTTTTTGTTTCTAAGATTTTCGTGTGCGCATGCTCAAAATTACGTAACATAACTTGTATTACTAGTCGTTTAATGTGTTTAAAAAGGTAATTATTTCAGGAGTGTCATCATTTTCGTTTCGTCACCCGTAGGCCAAAGCTAAACGTTAGCCAGCGGGCTAACGCTTCGCAGACAGAGGAGACTGCAACGCCTGGTATGGAGGCTTTTGTTGTTTGGCTGGCGTACATGCTAAAAAAACACGTTACATAGATTGCATCACCAATCGATTCTGACTGAATGGTGAACATTTCTAGACAAGCATGGCTTGGTCATGTTAATGCACATTGTTGGCCACTCGATCTGCAGTCAACTTTTCATCTTTAAATTTTGATCAAACGTA